GTTTATGAATCTTATTACCGGAAGGGCTGTTTATGAATCTTATTACCGGAAGGACTGTTTATGAATCTTATTACCGGAAGGATTGTTTATGAATCTTATTACCAGAAGGACTGTTCATGAATCTTATTACCAGAAAGACTGTTTGTGAATCTTTTTAAAACGTAGTATTGTTTGCTATTTAAACTGCTGCAATCCTCCGTTTTTTGAATTTCCATTTTTTTTTCCTTTTTTTTCAGATAGAATTTCTGTATTTAAACAAAATATTTTGGAATAGTAATTCTTTAAATTAACTTTAAACGATTTCATCTTTTTTTTTAATACATTTACCTACTATTATCCTACTTTTAAATTACCTATCGTTCAAAAAAAAAAAAAAAAAATAGCAAAAACAAAGGCTCATTTCATTTTATGATCTGAAATCATTTGTAAAAAGACACAATACATTTTCACAAAGTTTGCTGCTATGATTAATCTTTATGAATCACAAATTTCGTATATAATAAATGAAAATTTATTGTGAAAGTAAGCGTATTTTAATTATTCCAATAGAAAATTAATTTTATATTTGCATGTATGGTTGTTAAAAGTTTCAGATTTTTTAAAATTACTAAAAAGTTTCAACTTTTTAGAAACAAACATTTCTTACTTTTTGCTATACTTTTATTGAACAAACGAACAAATTAAAGTATTCGCTATTGTAAGCATCAAGAAATGAAGTAATGTTCATCAATAACTAAAACAATCTGTAAAAATATTACTTTTCTATTTATCCAGTATCTTTTTAATTCAATCCTTTCTAGTGAATAACATTTGACGTTGTTTGATGTTTGCTATCATTGTAATTAAAAATTAAAAAATATACGAGATAATCAAATTTATCATATCACATCATATCATTAATCAAATTTATCATATCACATACACACACACACACACATACACACACTATATCATATCATGCCATATTTACATCATTAGTTGATACAATTTTTACTTTCGCTTACATCTTCAGTGTAAGTGTAACAGATGGAATGAGAGGTGATATATGTTAAAGTTGATAAATGATTAAAATAAAAAGATTGAGATAAAAAGGCATAGAATGAATTATGATAGGATGAATTTTTTTTTTATTTTTATTTTATTTTATTCATATCCATTACAATAGTTTTTATTAATGTAATATCGCAGGAAGGTGGAAATGATCAAAAAAAAAAAAAAAAAAAAATACCAAACTTTTCTCAAACTTCAATATAATTGATTACTTTTCCCATTCTTTACCCTTCCAATATTTCCCTCTTCTCTGATATATAATTATAAAAAATTAATTACAAATATTCTAGAATTAATTTCTCTTTTTTTTTTTTGTCCATTGAATTATCCAAATAATTTAATCAAACAAATAAACTCTTGCATTTTTACTCATCCTCTTTCAATTCTCTTTTATTGACCCTTTACTAGATGTATCCATCCATTGATGCAAATTATCCATGCTCTTTTTATGCGTTTACAGTTCGTATAATTTATTACAGTTAACTGTATTGTATTTTTCATCGATCTATAAGCCAAATAATTTGATGCTTTTATTTTTGTTGTATAATATGACAATATATTTGTCGCGATATTGTTTATTGGCCATATGTAATATTCCATATCACTTGGCTAATAAACACTAATAAATGTCATGAAAGAAGGAAGAAATTTTTAAAAGCTATATTTTGTTAAAATGAAAACAAAAAAATTTGTCAAATATATTGTTCCAGTGAATAGAATATTTCGTAGAATAGCAATTTCATGAATTATAACACAGCAAAAATTATTCACTCCAATGATTTGAAAACAAGTTGTATGGAATTCGTGCTATCATCACATCGGAAAATTTGTTGTCCTCGATCATCAAGCCATTCACCATGCTTCACTTCATGGATTGTCTCATATCCAATCTTTTTGAACAACTATAATTTTATCATCATTAATTTCATAGAATTTGAAAAATTAGGAATAGGTTGAATGAAATTTAAAAATTATGAATCCAAAAATATAGATCAAAATTCAGAAAATAAGATTGATGATTAATTTTTTTTTTTGTCTTCTATAAATTAAAATGAAAAAAATACCAATTGTGATTTGAATGCAGATGCTTCTGCAATACAACCTTGACAACCAATTTGTTTAGCTTCATCTAACTTATAACAAAGCATTTTTTCAGCAAGTCCACGCCTAGTGTAATTTTTGTGCACTGAAATTACTGACCAAAGCAGTAGACGTTTTAATTCCGGATTAATAAGCATCCACATCTACAAATATTGTATTATTATGTAATGTTTAGGCTATAAATAAAAAAAAGGAATATTCTATGTAGTAGAAGTAGTAGGTAAAAATCTACAAGCCTTATTTTCCAATTCCTGAAGAATATCCACGATAATTTGCGCTCTTGGACAATATCTCCTTACTTTCGTTGCTGTCCTGCTACTATTATCACTTGCTACACTTTTATTCCTAGTTGACAATTCATTGTCCTGGAAATAAATAACCATGATAAAATAGATATGTGAAATATTTTCTGATAATTGTATAAATAAAAGGATAGCAAAAAAAAATTAAAGGAAAGAATCGACAAATTGATAAGCATATAACCTCATTGTGATGCTCTTCTTTTGGTCGATCTAATATTGAAGTCAACCTAAGTGCAACAATCTCACCATCAGGTCCTCGTAGAATATATGATAATGATGAGGCAATCCCAACATTTACCAAATCTATTAGAAATATCAGATAAGTTTATATATTCGTTTGATTTAGAATCACTTTATAAAATTAATGATAAAAATATGATAATTGCTTGTATTAAAATTAAAAAAAAAAAAAAACAAATTTTGCATTTCGTAATTTGACAAAAACTTTTACAAATAACAATCAACAGGAAAATTGGATAAAAATATTCGATAAACTAACCATTAAATAATTCATCCGAATCTTCGGCTTTTAGATTGATTGACCTATTCAATGGTTCATTGTATAAGAAATCAGTTAGCAAAAATTTTTTAACACAATCAAATTCGGTTGCTGTAACTCGATGTATGGATAATCCATTAAAATCTGCATCAGCCATAATCTGAAATTCAAAAATTTGGAATTTAAACCATCATTTATTGATGCATAAAAATGAAATATATTTATGCGCATATCATAGCGAAGCAATTTCGTTGAAATTGTTAAAATAATTAAAAAAAAAGTTATTTCAGTAATTAGGAAACATGATGATTAATGGAATCATTCAAATGATATACTAATATTGAAAAAAAAAAGAATTAATAAACTACTACCATAGCCTTGCATAAATGAATGTCATTCTACATATATGATGAGAATATCCAAAGATCTGAATAATTTTACTTAAACATCTGATGATAAGATATTTTTCGATAATTGCTAATAAATGGAAAAGTTTAGAAAGTAGCCAACTTTGTTATAATTTTATTGCCGATTCCTATTAATAATACAATTTCTAGGATGTAACAAATTGAGTGAGAATTTAAAGTCACCTGGCAAAGCTCATTGAAAGAATAATTCATTAATTAATAAATAGTAAAGTTGGATGAAAAAATTAGTAAAATGTGAATGGTAAAAAAAAAAAATCCGGAAGAAAAGAATAAGATGAATTGATTGGTGTAATTGTTGCTTGCATAAGGTGACAAATGTCACGAATAAAAGTGAAATTCAATAAGAAAGAAAAATCAAAAATTCATAAATGAATATGTTATGATGTACTAATTTATATGCATCAAATTGATTCATGGCTAACATTTAAAAGTTATTCAAATTTTTTTTTTTTTTGCATAAGTAGAGGCTATTGCTGCATAAAATTATATATATAAATATATCTTAGCAAAATGCTTTACCAATATGCGCTAACAAAAAGTACTTTATAAGCAAAAGCTAACAAAATTGCTAATCGTTAAACTTGAAATCCTTAAAAGATATATGTATATATATAGTAGGAGAATATTCGTTTTTTATTCATATCCTCCAAATTAGTCTCCTCGATGTTTATCGTGTTGTCGCAACACGATAAACATCGAGGAGACTTTTTTTGGAGTTAGCTTAAAGCATTAATTTGTGTTTTGTAATTCTTAATGATAATACTGTAATAATATTGTATTATTTTATCGAAAAATATAACTGTCCAAATCTGAATGAAAATAAAAAGAAATTTGTAACATTATATCACGCTGTGCAAGATACTTTCAAAAATATAAAAATTTTTTATTTTATGGTGACATAAGCCCGGGAAAAGAAATCGAATGATGAAGATTATGGTATAAAAAAAAGGTTGATAAGAGAGAAATGGAAAAGATAAGTTCGGAAAATAAATCGAAGTTTAAAATCAATTTGGATGCAATGGTGACAAAATTATCTCCTTAGTTTATTTTAAGAGAACGATGCAAAGTGTAACACAAACAGGGATAATATTTAACTGAAAGAAAACCTGATATAAATGAAGTAGTAATTATAATGAAGGAAAAATAATCAAGGGAAACCTAATTTAGGAATCATTAATGAACTGAAACCAGGTAGAAATGAAAAAAAAAAGGAATTTGAAGCGCAGCAATCATAAATTAATCAGGATGCATAAATTTATTGATCTTCTGGATATTAAAACTTAAAATAAAGCGGAAAGAAATATCGATTAAACAGAATACGAAATTAAAAAAAACGCAAGTAAAGAAAAGAAGTTAGTAAGAGTTCATTTATTGATAATGAAAAGTTGTTTTTATTATATGAAAACTTTTTACTGAAAAATACAATATTGTACTCCAATAAATTGGTTGTTGCTACCTGTTCTCGAATCTTCTCAACTCTATTCGATCGCTGCTAGCTGTTGAGCTATCGTTCATATCGATCGATTCGTCCAATAATCTCATCGATCATTACAGTATTTTCACGCTACAGTATTTTATTACAGTAATCTCGCCGATTATTACAGTACTTTTACACTACAGTGTTTCATTACAGTATTTTTCTTACTATCAATTTCACTGTTCTTTAGCATCGTTGTTAATACCTGACCATTATTTTGGATTACCCAATCATTTTTTCCTTTTTTATCCTTATATTTATTGCTAAATAAATACAAATGATGTAAAAATACAGTACGGGCAATTATATTCTTCTCATTGACTTCCGACTTTCGCCACATTTCTTCTTTCCTTATACTTGGCGGAAATTATAACTAAAAGTAAGCAAAAAAAAAAAAGAAAAGTGAAACAAACCGTTTTAATATTTAAAATTCTGCAATCAGCAAAATCATTTAAATTCCATAAAATTATGCGATTGAAATTT